CTTAACGGCTCTTTACTGGTATGTTTTTAAAAGGCTGGGGGTGGGGGGGGGGGCGGGGGGGGGGAAGGAAGTTAAGGATATTGGTTGTTAAAGGTCTGAGAGGGGAAAAAAAAAGGGGGGGGGAAGTTGTTGAGGTTATTGAGTGGGTGAAAAATGTCCTGTTAAAATCAACTCTTTTGAGGGGTGAAGCAAAGGGCTGGCAGTGGCAGTACATCACAGCTTCCTCTGGCAGTGCATTGCCCAGCTTTGCAGCCAGGTCCACATTTTGGACGTTAATGGTGGTGACTTGTGTGTGTTACTGCAGCACTGAAGTCTCTTCCCTTTGCTTGGTGCAGTTGCTCTAAAGAATCACAGTGCCAAAGAAGTGGAGAGGGACGGAGACTATAGCAACGGACAAGCTCCAGGCTCAGCAGCAGTACCAGAGGGCGAGCTGCTCCTACAGGTTAGTGCTCCTTTCTGGCCACCTCTCCCTGGTAGACGCCTTCAAGGGATTTTCCTCTTGTCCCCTTTCCAGCTCCTTTGAATTTTGCCGAAAGAGCAGGCTGTTCTGTTATTGATTGCAGGATGTTTTGATGAAGCAGTGATTTCACATGGTGTAGCACGTGGTGTGCTTCTGACTGGGCAGAGGTTTAAGACCTCTTCAGGTCCCTGAGGCAGAAACTGTGTTGCTTCTCCTCTCCTTTTCCCATCCTTCCTGGAGAAAATTGTCACCTGTAAATCGTTTGGGTGTCAGAACCCCCTCCACCTCGGTGGAAGCAGTGCTAAACTTCTGACCACAGAGATTCAGCTCTTCTGCTTCTCTGCCCTCATATGTAAATGGGCCATAGGTGTGACATGGGAGCCAAGCAGAGCAAGACATTTTGAGTGTGGTTTTCAACATGGGCACACTGGTCCCGACTCAGGGATGTTGTCCAAACACTGGTGAAAACAGGGAGGAAAATGTCATGGAAATCTTCCCTGGTTTTCAAGTAGTGATGCATGACATCGAGTACATAGATAGGTGCTGATGGGCCATATCCTCAGCCCATATACACAGAGTACATGGATGTATCCTGGGAGCTCTGCAGGAGGCATATAGTTGGCTCCTTTGGTGACGCTGGAGGCAATGCTGGAGCATGGCTGGGCTGAGCCTGCTGCTTCCATGGTTTATTGAGAGATGCCCGGAGATGACCTCCTGTCTCCAAACCGTGCATGGTGAATAGGAAGAGGTGAGGCTCCAGCAGCGTGAGGTCCTGCGAGGACATGGGTCTCCCCTTCCTTCACCGCCTCGCACCCAAGCATGGGCTGCAGCGCTGTCCCCTGCCTGGCTGTCATCTAGAGCAGGGGGAGCGTGCTGGTCAGCCCCAGCTCATTTCCAAAAGCTTGCTCAGCTCTTAGCAATAAGTATAATTACTGTCCTGCTTGAGAGCTGGGGAGCCAGGATCTCAATGTCTAGTGAGAGAAATTCTAAAGCCAAGGTGATTAATAACCAAAAAACTGAGGGTTTTCTGCTGTGGATATAACAAAAGTGTGCTCAGCAGGGCTTGCTGGGGATTGATGTCCTGCTTATCAACTTGATGCCGCCCTTGGAGAGGTACCAAGCTGGGTGTTAAAAGCTCTGGGTTTATGTTTGGCTCTTCCAGGGGCCCATCTGTGTGATGCTGGACACAGCAGGGGCTCAGAACCTGCCTCCGTGCCACAAGGAAACGCTCCTAACATGTTTAAAAAACTACTTCTACCTGGTCTGTCACCTTTGACGTACAGACTTCCTTTGTCTGGCTGCAGGGTATTAAATCAGCCTGCTGGTCAGTGCAGTTAGGGAAGGACAGAGTGCTGCAAGATGTTGCTTGCTGCTGGCATGGCAAAGCAATGCCTCTGAAGCTGCTCAAAGGGTTAAAGTGCATTTGGCAACACTAATTAACCTCTGCAGCAGATTCCCACACACTGAGATCAACCCCAGTAAATAGAGAGAGCTGTTTGTGTCGGAATAAAGGGAAGGAGACGGGGGAGAAACGCAGACCTGGACAATGAAACAGGAGTTGGCAGCAACAATAGCTGGACTTGGCTGAGACTCTATGCTAGACCCTAATTAATTCTGATGTCTATACATTACGAAGTGGGGGAAGCAGGCCAGGGCTGGCTACTGTAGCTTCCTTGCCTGCAGCCAGATTAGTGGTACAGGATGGCTTTGGCACTGGACAGCCATAGGGCTTCTGGGGTCCACACTGCAGGAGGACTTCTGCCTTCTAGAGGGCTCCTGCTTCGAGCTGGCAGGAGTGTCCCCATGGGGACCTGTTGCCCTTAGGGAGGGGTGGCTGGGTGGTGCTGTGATAGCTGTGAAAGCTGTTTGGCTTCTGGGGAGCTAAACCGGTGATTTTCTTGGGTTTTCATGGCCTTTGCTCTTAGGCAGCACCGTGGGCTTGAGGTGTTTGCTGGAAGTCTACCGGGATCATTTCAGAGCTGGGGAAACTGAGTCACAGAGCAGTCACAGACTCCACTCAGGGTCAAGGGGAGACTGCTGTGGGCCTGCTCCCAGCCCTGGCAAAGTGATGACATGATCTTCAAAGCACTGGGCTCTGCACCACCAGGGCTTGCCCCCCATGGTTGGCAAAGGCTGATGCAGTGCCTGCAGTGCTTAGGAGCGCTTTGAGGTGCTCCTCTGGATCCTGATGGTGCCTGTGCTAGCAATGCTCTTTTGCAGATCAGCTCCTGCCTGGTGCCAGTGAGCAGGGATGAAAAGCCAGGGCTCCTGGGAACAGCAGCTGCACTCCCACACTGGTAGGGAAGCTCCTATGCACCTTTTAATCTTCACGGATCTCCAGGTGCAAAGGACACTGTCAGCCAGCACCCTAGTCCCTTCTCCCGTGCCCTGTCCTGCCAGCCCTGGGGCTGCTGGCTTGGAGAAAACACTCAAATTACTTCCCAAATTTGTTAAGCTGATGAGCTCCTCTTGAGGAAGACGGAGGCTCCAGTCAGCTCAGCCCATTCCTGCCTGGGAATGCAGTGTTCCCTTGGATGTTGACTTTGCAGTCCTGGAGCTTGAGGAGAGGATGAAAGGGCTGGTGAACTGTAAAATGTGTAAGAAGTTGTGTAGCATTAAAAATTCATTGGAAACTGGGTTGATGGCTGCATTTGCTATTTTCTGTGGGGAGGGCTTTGTGCTTTGAGCCTGCACGGGCAAAGGAGCTTGAGTATTTATTTTGTGAAAACAGAGCATGGCATTCAGCCTGTTTGGGTGGAGGGCGTGCACGAAGAAGCACGTGCTCCAGGATGGGGTGTTTGCAATGTGTAAATCTGTACACCATGCAGAGAGAGAGTTCCAGAGGAAGAGGAGCGTCGCTGAGAGCATCTTGTGGCTAATGTGTACATCCCAGGCGTGGGTGGCTGCAGGCATCCCTTTCCCCCACGAACACTGATGCTTGGTCCCTTCGCTGCCCTGTGGTGCTTTGGAAGGACGGTGCTGTGCAGGTTGGATGAGCACCTTGCAGCACGTTGTCACTGGGTGTGAGTTTGGGGTAAATCATTTATTTGCCGAAAGGAAAAGGTACCCTGAGGTCAGCCAGCTATTCTGTGGTTTTCCCCCAAGTCCAGGGACCAGACTCAGCCTGTCCTCCCTCAAGCTTTGGAAGAAAATGGCTTTTCAGAAATCAGATGTTTTTGCTATGGTTTCAAAAGCCAGTCTTATGCTTTAGCTTTCACATTTTCTGTTTTCACTAGTTAAGGCTCTTTGCAGTGTTGGGTTGGCCACTTCGACCACAGGGTGAGTGATGTGGGAGGAGGCAGTGGGCAGTGGAGACAACACCTTTCCAGGCCTTGTTCCTTGCCCATGGACAGCCCAGGCAGGCACAACACAGTCCTTCTCTGGGCCTCTCCTCTGGCACCTGGGCAGGACAGGAGGGTTGCAAACAAGGTCAGGAGCTGGGCAGGTTTCTCCCAAACCAGGAGTATCCCCATCCACATGGGCCAAGCAGCAGCAGGGAATGCCCAGCCAACGCTGCCAGCACACAGTGATCTGTGGTGGGTTTGCGCTCCATTGAACATCCCCCGGCTTTTCCAGCCTCATACTGTCCTAAGCCACGTGCGGCTGCCAAGACCCTCCCAGGCTATGGGGAAGATGGGAACTACCTGAGCGGAGCCACCCAGGTAGATGCAGGTCAACATTAAATGCAGCTGACATGAAATGCTGTTTTGATTCAAGGTTGTCAGAAAGGCTTGTTTCTGCCAGAATACCAGAATGGACCAGTTCCTGATGGTGTCTGGTTTCGTTCTGCAAGCTGTTCTGAGATATTTATTTGCTCTTCGCATAGGATGAGTATAAATGTCCAAGTCTGAGTCTGAGCAAACGCTCCTAGGATGGAAGCAAAGTTTTCTATCAGTTTGGATTAGGGTACGCTCGGGCAGCTGTATGGAAGAGCTACGTGACCTCAGAGAAACCTAGCAAAAGGTACCATCTGTTTTCTTGGTGAGCACAACTCTGCCGGTGTTGATCCCCATTTTTCTCTGTCCAGCCTTCAATGGAATTTGCCCAAGCAAGGCAGAGCGGATGATAATCTGAGAATGAGCTGCAGGCAGAGGTCACTGCTAGGTAGAGCAGACTCGTCAGGTCTGCGAAAACCTGTGTTTAGGCTGCATGTGCTCTGGCACCTTGGCAAGGTACATGCATAGAGGCAATTGCAAGAATGGAGGTCTCTGGTGCTGTTCCCATCCTGCAGGAAGGGTATGAAACCAAGAAGCTGCTTGAACAGTGCATTGGTGGATTGGGTGAGAGCCAGGGCAGTACCCAGTGTTGCGACAGCAAGATGCCATTGGGAAGAGCTTTCTTTCCTTCCAGGTTTTCCCATGCTTTGTTTCCTCTCCTACACCTTTCTCTTGGTGGGGCAGTGGCTCAGCTGCCTGCCAGCTGGGATCAGCCAGGACTTGAGTGACCAGTGTCCAAGCAGAATGAAACTCACCATCCAGCTAGAAAAGAGTGATGCAAGTGTGGCATGTACCTGCCAGTCTCCTCTCTCCCCTAGGCGCTCAATGGCTTCGTGCTGGTGGTGACATCGGAAGGACTGATATTTTACTCCTCACATACAATTCAAGACTATCTGGGATTTCATCAGGTTGGTGGGACGCCTCTGACTTGCTGTGGTGGGTTTGCAGAGTGGATTTTTCCTTGGTGGTGGAGAATAGCCGAAGTTCCCTGTGAATAGGAAGCTCTGCAGGGATCACAGGCTCTTGGGGGACTGTGTGGGGCTTTTCCTTGGTCTTGTGAATTTGGACCCCATGTTGCCACACACGGTTGTGGGGAGGTGTCAAAGCAGTTTCGCTGGCCCACAGACGCTTTCTGCCAGCCACATTGACAAGCTATGAGGTTTGTGGCCCTGTTGTGTAATGCCGTGGTGAGATGTCTGGGGTTCTCTGTCCAGTGTGCCTTTGGGCACCCACTCCTCTGGGTGACCCGTGGCAAATCCTGTAAGGCTCCAATGCTTGTGGTTATCTGAGCACCCAGGTAACCTGGAAGGCACTAGGTCAGATTTATGGGGAAGAGGGATTTACCTACAGTCCTTTAGTTACTGTGGTTTGGTGTTGCTCCCGCGCAGCTGTCTTTCCCCAGCATCTGGGGTAGATTAGGACTGTCCACCTGGGCAGAGGGAGCAAGTCCTGGAGCAGGTGTCTCGTTCTCTCAGTAACAGTGTAGGGCTGAGGTGGCTTTGCTGCTGTTTTGTTCCCAAACCCATGTTTTCATCTGATTCTCTAAGTCAGCACTAGAATTTTGGAGGACACCGTGTTATGGGGATGAGCTTGTCAGAGGGGAGCTGTATTGCTGATGCTAGTGGCTCTTTAGGATGCGGGGGAGGTCTGGTCCAACATGGGCAAGGGGTCCTTAGAGCCAGATGTGCTGTCTGTTACCACCAACATCAGCTCTGGTGGAAGGTGTCAACCCTCATTCAGCCAGGGACCTAGTTGAGCACCAGGGAAATTGGGTGAGATGTGGCCCACTGGGGCTATGACAGGCTGTTTCCAGGTGGGATGTGAAAACTGGTGCCTGGGGGCAGGCCACAGAGCTCATGCATTGCTTTTTCCTCTAGACAGATGTCATGCACCAGAGCGTCTTTGAGCTGATCCACACCGAAGACCAGCAG